TCTAACTAACCTTGTTACAAAGTCTTCATTTGTGTCTTAAAGGTATCTCCGGTGCACACGTAGATCCACTGAGGAATAGTAGTCTTGTTTCCCCGCAGAGGACTAGTAGTCAGTCCAATAATCTTATCTTCTGTCCTATGTAGATATGGTAGATCTTAATAGCCCTAGGGATGTGCAGTGTGCAGGGGTTTGTTCTGTCTTGTTTGTTTGCTTGGATTTGGTCGGGAAGGATAATTTGGTTTAAGGTTAAAAAAAAACTACTGTTAAACTGTGGTATGAAAAGATGAAACTCTTCTAAAAAATTTTAGTAATAAAATAGGTTTACCAGAGCAAACCTCCAGTTAGCCAAGCAGAACTGAAAAAGTGTATTCAACAAACAGTCCAGTAACTGAACTTTTCAACTTCTGGAGTATCTGCAAGAAATTAAGTTCCTCCACTGTATTTTTAATCAGTAAGAGTTCTCTCTTTAAAAGCACATACAGTTAGTTTGCTGTTGAAACTGTGTGTATTATTTCAGCTGTGATCTATTAGGTATAATCACATAATATTGACTTTGTTTCCTGATTCAACACATGCACATTTTTCTGTTTGAGTTCATGTGGGCAACTGAGATGTATTTTGTGAGAATTCTTACCACGACAAAATGAATGGTTTTACTGTTCAGAGAATGCAAAAATCAGTCAGACATAATATCCAGTATCACTGAGGGTTTGGGTGTTCTGGCAGTGTTTGCTGAGGTTTAATCACTAATACAAAAACACAATCACAATAATTTTTATATAAGTATCAGAATCCAGATTAAGGAAGGTAAAGAGCCAAGCTTAAGTGGTCTGGAGGTCCATTCCAAAATTAACCCTTCATAAAAACAAAGGTACTTGGAGAGCAGTTTTCCTTTTCTTATTAAAAAACCCTATTTATTTCATCTACTCTTGAGAGTTTACTTGAACAGCAGCTGTGTTCTGCTGGTTTACATTAAGCTGGTGTTTATAGCTGATGGCTCCCTCCTCTAGCAAATGTATCCCTGTCCCTGGAAGCTGAGCCACAAATTATGTGTCTCCCTTTTAACACAGACTTTTTTCTTGCAACCTTGGTTGCTGTCTTCTACAGTATTTTAGTGAACAAGAAGCCAGGACTTCTGAATTTTTAAAGTGTGGCACTAATTAATGTGTAATGGTAGGCAAGTCTTGGGCAACCGTGCCTTGGTTTTTTGGTGTTAAAGAGTCCTGTTTATAAAGCAGCCTGAGATTTCCAGATGAACAGCACCACATGAGCAGTTACAGCCAGGCCTTTGCTGCTTACTTTTGTAACTGCACATCAGTGGTGCCTATAAAGACAACTAGATTCTGAAGCCAATATTCCCAAAGCAGCATCAAATGTAGTAAGTTAAATCTTAACTTCTACATTACTACTTTCTGTGCAAAGAGTAGAGCAGGAAGCCACATGCTTCAAATATATGAATCTCTAAAGCTCTCCACTTAAACACCTATCTACAGTGCCACATTGCAAACATGAGGATGTAATGCTTACAGAAATTCAATGTTTGCTTAGTAACTACTACTGCTTTGGGTTTTTTCTCCCCCTCCACCTTTTTGGTATTTTTTCCTGCTAAAGATTTTCTCAGCAAAGGGAAAACCACAAACTTCTTCAGCATTACAGTCCTGTTCTAAGGCCTATTTGTGTTTCTACAGAAGTTAGGACTGCACAGTCAAACAAAGTTATTGATTTTCCCAGGTGGAATTTTCATCACAGCTCACAGCATCACCTCACTGTTCTCATTTCTGGAGGAAGAAAGTAGCAAGCAGCAAATAAAACAGCCAGCAAGGAAATCAGTCAAGTTAAAACTAAAAATACTGAGATGCTGAAGGAAGTTCATTCACTAGCTCCTCTGTTTATGGGGAGATAAAGGAAAGAACTGAAAAGCTCAAAACCAGAGCAAATGTGAATAAATAAGAAAACAGTTATTTATATGCACAGATACACACATTCAGAAGAACAGGACATTCTTGACCAAGTACCAGAAATCTGTTCATAAAGCAGGCAAAAAGGGCACAGTATCAGGTAGGAATAGAGTAACAAGTGGACAGATTTAGGCTACAACACTGTCTGAGTTTAAAGCCTGCAATCAGTTCCACTGCCAACAAGCAAGCAGCTAAAACCACTTGCCTATAAGGCAAAGGAAAGCGAGACAAGAATCAATACTAAAGATGCCCCAAAGTATAAACCAGAAAAATTACAACAGTCCAAGGAGGTCAGGCAAGAGAAATATATGAAGCATTACCAACATTTTGGCAACTAACCCGCTTGATAAATACGGAGAAGTAAGGGTGGGGCAGACAGGCCTATGGAATCCAGAAACATGCACAGAGCACCTTTCATTCCAGAGAACCTCAAAAGTACCTTAGGAACATAAAAGAATAGTTTCATCCATTACTGATGGTCAGCCCGTGGAGTGGGGTGGCTGTTTCGGACTGGACATTAGTCAGCTCCCCAGAGCCAGTGGTTTAAGCCAGAAGTACTACGCTCCTCCAGAAGTTTCAAAAGACTTTTAAAGGGGGAAATTTAGCAATAACAGTTAATTAGTATCTTCTCACAAAATGGGAATCTGTAGTGTTCTCTCTGTAGCTCTTTTTAATTCTACTTAAAGTTTCCAAGCACCAGCCTCTGGTGAAGCAGTGAGTCACCATCAGTGCTGTGGTACGTGGCATGTACAGCTACAAAAGCATTTCAAGGACCAACACAGCTTTCTGTTGAGACTCACCTGAATACTGACAAAGCAAAACTCACTTCATTTAAACAACAAACAAAAAGCCAGAACAAAAAACAAGGGAGAAGGGTTGGGGGAAGAGCAGGAGACTGGGGAGAAGGCACGAATTGTCATTTAGAACATTACAGAAATTCTGCAAGATTTATCCTGGACTGCATTCATAGATGGAAAAAAAACACCTTAAAAGTACTGTTAAAGGATAAGAAAGGAAACATGATAGTGTTGAGAAGTAATAGATGGGACAGGTGAAAAGTCAGGTACCAATCTCCCACAAAACATGTACCTGCAAAGGGTAATATCAGAAATATCTGCTAACAGTAGGAATATAAGACATCCACTCTTAGGAAATGATGATTACAGGTTCATGCTTTCCTAAAGGTAAATAGGTCTTAAAAATCCTTGCACACTTCATTTGCAGACAAAGTGCAACAGGTGTATGTATGCACACACGTGCAGTAACAGCAACTGAAAAAAAATGCTCCACAATGGTTAAAAGCAACATACACAGCCTATAAAACCAGATCTGATTTGATGCTCAGAGCTTTCAGTCACTCGCTAAAAGACTAAGAGCTTTTGAGACCCTAAGGGAAGATTAGTTTCAGAACTTGCTATGAACTCGGTCTTGACACAAACATACCTTTTTCTTTTGACTTCCTGTCTTGTTCTCTCTCTCTGCTTTTGCTTCTGTGCTTGTAGGATTTCCGATCCCGGCTCTTTGACCGTCTCCTGTCCCTGCTGCGAGATCTGTGTTTCCTTTCTGACCTGTCGTGACTTCTGCTCCTCCTTCGGTCACGACTCCTGAACATTCAGAGAAAATTTCAAAAATGTCAATCTCAGCTGCTATTTTCTAACTCAGAATACAAAACAGTGAAACAGCAGCACTTTCTAATATATTGGTTATTTGCAGAAAACAAATCTTAACATATTGTATCTAAATACTTCTCAGTACATTAGACTTGGCTTCATATTGCCCTCTTCATTTACTCCAACATTTAACTACACAGCTTAAAAATATGTACCACCAAAAAATAAAGACCAACTTAAGTAAGAAACAAGACCCTATTCTTTGGGAGCAATTTTATGAGCTCCCTCAAAAAACCACTTCCATCACAATGGTGTCACCTACTTCCAAAAATGGAGAGAAGACAGTGAACATGCAGCAAAAACTTGCTTATCCTTAGAACCAATGAAGTGTGTCTTTGCTTAAGAGATAAAGTGAAGTTAACAAACCAGTGATGTGACCCAGGCTGACAGATCAATATTTTTATCTCTTGGAAAGTTACATGAAAATACATCACACACACACACACACACACAGAGGTACCTGCTTCGCCTTCTCTCCCTGCTTCTTGACCTTTTGTGGTCTCGTGACCTTCTGTCAGATGTTCTGCTCGAGTGTCTACTCCGGGAGCGACTCCTTTTACGTCTCTCTCTATCACGAGCCCTCTCCTTTTCCTTTTCTTCCTCTTCGCGCCGTCTCTTCCTTTCCCGCTCTTCTCTTTCCCGTTCCCTCTCTTTCTCTCTCTCCTCTCGTTCTAGTTTCTCTTTTTTCAACCTTTCATCACGGTCAGGTTCTTCTGTTCTTTTTCGTAACTTTTCCTTCAAAATCAAGTTCACAGGAAGAAATGAAGATCAGTCAAGCTAAATCACTGAGTATATTTAGTTTATTTATTCTGAGGATGTAGAAGCTTAAGCTTTTAAAATATTTCAAGTGTTATTTTCTAAACAAAGGACAGCACTTCCTAAAATCCCTGAAATGAAAATCCTTTGTCTTACAGAACTTATTTTGCTGGTCATTCTCTCAAGAACAAAGGCCATAAAAATTCCCATCTGAATTTACATCTTTGCTTGTATCTGGTGTAACCATACACAACAAAACATGCCAGGTCAAGCACAGTCCTAAATGGATTCCACTCCTTGGAGTGTTTCACTCTCTTGAGGAAGTCCACTGGACAGCCTTTTATGTACCATGGGAAGCCTCCAAGCAATTTTATCATGTTCAGAAACTTGAGGAAATACTTACTTTTAAATCTTCTACAGTAGCTTTTATTTTGGCATAACCCATGTGCTGCTTTCCCATCAAGTGGTCATCTACCCTGGACTGTGCATCTCCTACAATTAAAAAGGCTCCACAAACTTCACAAACTTCCATTTGTTTTTCTTGGGCTGCAAAGCTCTCAATTGTCTGCAGAAAGAAAAATATTTGATAAGGCAAAAGAAAAACAAGTTTTAGCCAGAAGCCAGTGAAGAGTTTTAGAACTTTACTGTTACTTTTGTCAAATCCCAGGCACTACTGAAAGCTGAAAACTGTATCTGCCTGCTTTGTCTTCAGGGCACTGCACCTACCAGGGTGAACAGGGCAAAAAGAGGATACCTACAGTCATTCCATGTGAGCCACAAGGAAGGAGTCCAATAGAAACCACAGAATTACTCCTCACTGCATGTACACAGTAATATTTGCAGCTTCCTTGCAATCTCAGAAAAACAAAATTGTAAGTTTTTCTTTTACAGCTTTCCTTTTCAGTTTTAAGATGATTTCTTTTGCATCAACTGAGGTGTCAGGAGCTGCAGAATAACCCTGGAACATGCCTCAAGGAATCAAAAGGCTAGAATATCCCATGAAGAAATAAAAAAAGGAATGCTGAGCTTCTCTTTAAAAGGATGACAGTCAAACTGATCCAACAGACAAATGAGAAATACACTGAAATTTCAACATAAACCCAAGTGTGATTACTGCTGTACAATGTCCATGAATCATACACTGTGGACATAAACACACTGCCTGCAACATTTAAGAACTTTTAAAAAATAAGACTCTCAATTTGAGCATTTCATTAAACTCCAAAATATAATATTTAAACTTAAGCTCCTTTTTACTGACAGGAACTTGCTACTTAACACATTCCCTCTGGCTTCTGTGGCTCTCACAGTCAGACAGATGTCTGTCTGTAGTCACAGCCCTGACACAAGGGCTTTCTGTAACAGTCACACTGGTAATTCAGTAAAATTATACTGCAGAGGTTACAGGGTAAAGTTTAACTGAGACCAGAACCAGAGTAAGCTGCAAGCTCACCTCCAGGACTGCTGGGTGAATAATTTCATAATTTGTTTGCAGGAAGCCCACTCTCAAGGTGGAATGTGAAATAAAACACTGGATTAACATGTTTAAATGTCCTGTTATTATCTAATCAATTCTGCTCAGACCTTGCATGCCTTCAGTGGAAGGACAAGGTTATTCAGAATGTACTGCTGCACCAAATTTTGAAATGTCTGACAAAAAACCAAACACATAACTTACTGAAGTTGTAGATCTCAGCAATTCTCTCTCTTCCTTTAACTGTTCAACAAGTTTCATCATTCCTTGTGCCTCTTCCACCTTTCCTTCTGAACCCAGTTCTTCAATCTAAAGGACAATAAAAAAATTCAAATGTAACTTCTGATCAAGTAACAAAAGCAAGAGATCTCTCTTAGGGGGGTTAAAAAACCCTCACCTGTTGTAGAAGTACATCAATTTTGTCAGTTAACACCTGAATCTTCTCCTCGTTTTTACCGGTAGGTCCTGCTCCCTGCAAACAGTACAAGTGTGAGTTGGAAGGTTTTTGTTTGCTTGTTGGTTTTTCTTCTGTTGTTAAAACAGCTTTAAAACACAAAGGTACGTCTTCTCATATTTCAGAGACACTTCAGGAATAACATCCTCCTGCCTCTTCTTGCATGAGGAGCTACTAATAATAGTCTAGTTTAACATAAAACTCTGCTTGACACAGCTTACTCCACCCTTGTTGAGTCTAGTCACACTAATTCATCCTAAGTCAACAAAAATGTTCAAGGTTCTGGCCCATAAAAGGTAAGATATCCAAATTCAAAGCCCTAAATTTAAACTCTCAAACTGCCATGCAGCTGTTACATATCTTTGCAGACATTCAAGTATGACTTAGAAGTTCCGTGGGCTTTGAAATTCGACTTCTGAGCACAAATGCAACAAGAATGTCACTTCCAAGATGTATTTGTTAGCAGTGTCCTCTCTGCAGGCTGTCAGATTAGATTTACTGCCTCCCTCCCACCTTTGCTCTGCTCCACAACCAATATCTCTCTTGACTGGATACTGTCCACAGCTCCTTCTGAAGCAACTGCACTTTGCACAGAAGAATCAGGTGAAGCAGCAAAAAGGAGCAAGGCTGCCCTGGCAGTCACAAAACCCACAGAGCACGGGCCACAGTCACTGCTCCAAACCCATCATGGGAAAACATACAACTTACTAGTGCAGGGAAGGAGGAATATTCAGCTAAGGGAGAAAAGGTAAACTGAGGTGGTCAGGGCAAAAACAATACTTGACAGGATTAATATTCCCAGCAGAGAAGAGATATTGACTCTAAATAAGCAGATGGGGAGAAAAGAGAGGGGCTCTTGCTGACTGTGGAGCCACTTGGCTTGTCCATTAGGGCTTGATGCAATCTGCTGGCTAACAGATGAAGAGACTTATCTAAAGGGAATCTTCTGGAAGACAGTATGTTTCACCTGAAAAGATAAGGTAAAGAGACCACAGAGATGCTCTCTGCAGGAAAAGCTGCCTCAGTGGTTCTTCCAGACTCACCCCAGAGGACTGTTGGTTCTGTGACAGTGCCAGGCGGGCGTGGCCCCTCCGGATCCTGCGCTCCACCTCTGCCAGCAAACTCTGCAAATAGCGCAGGAAATCCCTCTCATAGCCCACCTTCATAAACCGAGAGCTCTTCTCATACCTGGTGAAACATTGTACAAACAAAAGCTCACATCAATCCACCACAGAGGAAAAATAAGTAACCAAACACACAATATTATAAATTCTTGCTCGCAGTGAGAGTATTATACATTTAAGTAAATGCTTACATAAATCAAAAAGCAATAACTTTGTCGTGTTTGGGTTGCTTTTAACAAATTTCAAACAAAACCACTATTTGCTTTAACATATCAACCAACATACTTACTGTTTACGGAGATTTTCATCATGAATTTTTTCACAAGGACCTAAAAAGACAACACAAAAAGTTTAAGTCTGCATTCTTGAGTGGTGTATTCACATTCCATCAGCATTTGTTTGTGCACCATGAGAGAACAGAGTTACAAACACCTCCCAGGGACTTTTATGCTTCTGCCTTTCTGCTTCCTTTGCTTGGAGCTTGACAGACACATTAAAGAAAAGGCATGCCAGTATGGTTTAGTAATTATAAAACCAAAACAGACTCTGAGTGACATACAAAGTCTTCATGTAAAATAGAATTTCCAGATGGAGTTTTACATCAGTAAATCTCAACTAACAATGTAATATCTTAAACACCTGGGGTCTTAAAAAACAATTAAAGAAAAATTACATATGAAGGGTAATTTCATCAGGCACTTTCTAATTTCCAGTGTTCTTTGTAACAAGCTGGCTACTTAAAACACTGATCTTCAGAGTCAAATTAGGAGGTATGTGCTCAGAGTTCATAAAGGTACTCATGTTAAAACTTCCCACCTTCCCCAGACTCTCAAACTCTTCAATGAACTCAGTAATTAAGACAAGAAATCTTACTTACCATCTCCAAACTACCATTGCTTGAAAGCCATCAGTAATTCAGAGCTGGCTTTCAGAAATAACTACCACAGTAGATGAGTCTCTAAAGTAAAGTAGCTCAATAATATACAGTCACACAAAACCAGTTAAAACCCTGTCCAGGCAGAGTAAATCAAACTAGAAGCCAACACTTCAGCAGGAGAAAACCACCCCAACTCAGTAATTTAGCTCACACTGTAACATAAAAATTTTTATATACAGTTTCTTCCACTTAGACAAAGTAGGAACTGGAATAAATGTTGTTCTCAGCATATTATATCACTGGCAACCCTTTAGGAATATAAAAGCCTATTTTCAAAGTGCCTTGACAGAGCAATTAACAACAAAAATGTAGTTTGCAAACAAAAGCTCAGCTGTAATTACATGTAAGTGAATACAAATGTCAAGACTTAGAAACTTACCTAAATCAGAACGGGTATTTGTAAATAATTCAGCTGGGCAAAAGCCACAAAGGTAGTATTTGCAAACCTGACAGAGGAGAAGAAAGAAACAGGCATTATTTTTTGTCTCTTAAATTGGCAATTTTAGGTAAACACTATTTCTAAAATACTGTGTAAATCTTTCCTTTGTACACCACAAAATTTCTGAAAATTCTACACACCCTCTGGATTTCTTGGCAGCAGTAAGTGCTACAAGGTGCACCTTGATGACAAAACACCAAAAATCTTACTTTCCCTTGCAATAATAGTATTTAATTTTACCACTAAATATTTAAGATTACAGGAAAGTGTCACCAATTTATAAATATAAATACTTGATATTTCCAAAGGAAGTAAATCAGATTGGACTATTTAGTAAGTTACAATGAAATTCTTTAACTGTGAAAAGCTACAAGAGGTGACAATGTCTGCCATGGAAGCATGGAACAAATTCCTCTGCTTGCTGGGAACAACTCTGTGTTCAGGCTTCACTTCCTCAGAGCTCCTGGCCTGGAGAACAGGAGCCACCAGCACCCAAACACCAGGTACTGTCTCAAGGATTCTGAGGGCAATTAGAACATGTATGGTAACTCTCCAGAAGCTTTCCCACTCCAATGCTTTTAAAAATCCCTACTTTAGGAATGAGAGGCAAAGAGACATCATATACCCCTCCAGGCAGGCAGAGAAGACACTCCTTTTAACCTGGTTTCCTGCCAGCTCACAAAGGGTTTGGTTTGTTTCTGCACAGTCTGGTTTTGCATTACCAAGTCAGGTTCTGATAACAGAAAAATACCACCAGAAAATTCAAAAAAACCACCAACCTGTTAAGTCTAGCAAGTAAATACTTAACATATGATGGGATAAAAGCAGCTTTTGTTAAAAAGATTATTCACCCTCCCCCATGGGCATGGGCTTAGCTAGTCAAGTTGGTCAGTCCCTGAAGTTTGTAACACAGAAATATCTCCTGCCTATCCATCAGAACAGCCAAAAGGGTAAAATCAGAAATACTTTCACCCTTAACTTCATAAACATTTCGAATAATTAAGTCTTCACTAGACCATTCTTGTAGATGTGACTGCCATTAACTAAGGTGTAAATCCAAAACTAGCCTGGACATTCTTCCAACACCTCCTTTATGTTACACCAACTTCTAATGTTTGGCAAATCCAATAACTGTGATTGCTACTACAACCATCTGATCCTCTCACATACACCAGGGACAAAGATCTGCAAACTATTATTTCTCAAGACAAAATCTGAAGTATTTGAACAAATGGGGGTTAGGAGAGTGACCCCAAACCTACCCCACCACCTCACTGAAATGCCTGTGACACCAGTTGCCCAAATAAGATCAGTCTGATTTCTTTTTCCAAGCTAAATGCCAGACTGCAAATCAGGCTGTGGAAGTTAAAACTCTACTGACTGCTTTACAGATTACACAGAAAAACAATCAGGCTTTCTACTGACAAGCCATGGACACAAAACACAAACAAACAAAAAAATCTCTCATTATATAATGTGAATACTTCTCCCACGATCCAGGTTAGGGCACTGGCACCTATTTGAAGTAATTTATTAAGAACAGTTACGAAAATATATAAAATCACTTTTTTTTTTTTTCTTCTCAGAAGCAAGGAGAAAGATACTGGACAAAATCTGATTTCTGAATCTGCTCTCTTCTCTGAAAGCTGCAATATCCCTTGTTTTAATATCAAGATGTTTCAAGGGAAGAGTTTCTGGTAAGAACTCCTGTACTTGTCATCAGAAACTTAATTCCTCTCTACATTAGCTTCTTCCTTCATTTTCCCATCCCCACATTCGAGTTTCAGGATCAGTGAAAAGGCATTTTGCAAAAAATTTCAGGGATGGATTAGACAAATTTCCTAAGACACAGAGAGCACAGTCTGACCATATTATGCTGCTAAAAAGTTGTAGAGTAGCTCTTATCAACTCAAAACCTAAGCAAACTGCTCTGTAACACTTCTGAAACAAGCAGCAATAAAAGGAGCAAAGGAAAAGTTATTCAACATAGAACAAAAAGCCCCACTCCCACCCAAAACCAGAAATTATTAAAACTGCTTTATGAAGTAGCACTCCTAGGAAAAGCCTCCCCTTATGAAGAGACAGCTACAGCGAAAAATTGTAGTAACCAATACTAAAATATGCAGCTTTAACAGTCACATCCTGTTTTAATTATTTATATATTAAAAACCCAATCAAACACAAAAACCCCAAACCCAAAACGATGACAAAACCTGCCCACACTGAAAAGCTGCCATAATTTTCTCCTACCAGCACTAGGATGGTACCCAGTGAATTACACAACATTCTCTCCTAGGAAGCACCTGCAGAGAAGTACCCACTTCTGACTGGTTCAGACCCCCTCCCATACCTATTCCCTTATGCCCACCAACAGAAAAACACAGTTTGCTAGAATCCTGCAGAATCTTACTTCCAGCTCAGCTTCACCACGTGGAGCATCTGCCTTCCCAGGCTGAACACACCATCAACTGCACTCACAGTCAGTCCTAAATAATCAATGATGAGCAAGAACAGGAAGGGACAAGGAATGGCTGAAGCATCACAGAGCCATTAAAGGACTGAAACAAAGGTGACTGTTGAGCTTCAATTGACATCACTTGTCCATGGCTTATCAGGCCACTGCACTTAGCACAAGTAATATGGAAATACTGCCATATATGCAGGAGCAGAGCAACAGGCAGTTCAGTATGGATAATTCCCTAGGCAGGTAACAAGCATTTATTCCTTTCTGCCGAATTATTCTGAGGACTCCACTACCAAGAAGGTGCAACAGAAATGTTACTGTCAAAGTGTTGCAGTAGGATCAGCCACAGCTCGTGTCTCAAAGCCCCCGGGATCTCACATTTCAATAAGACACTGGAACACACACAGGCACTTGGAATTTCCACTTCTTCATCTCAAATTCACTAATCCTTGAAATCTCCTGGAAGTGGGAAAGCAGTATCCTCTGCCTCTATGTCCACTAAGTTAACAACAAGAATTGCAAGCTCTTCTGGAGTTTGGGAAGCAGTTCAAAGCTTTCCCATCTAAAGAAGCTACTGACAGCTCTCTATGGTTTATGCTTCTACATTAATACACTTCTCTTCTGCAAGAAATTTATTTACTGAGGGAGAAGTATCTCTCTAACAATGATAAACAATTATGCAAGCAAATTCCTTTAGGCAGACAATTCCTAGTAAAAAGACTGAGAATAAAATCCAGCAGGTTATGGCTTACACATCAAAAACTAGTAAATTCCTTCACACAGATTAGTTCTTTGAAACCATTAAAGTTCCCATGCATCAGACATTTTATGAGCAATTCCCGCCCACCCAAACCCAAACAAACATAAGCCCTTCTTCCAAACCCACTCTTACAGATAACCTTCCATTACTGATATTCTTCCAAAACAAATAACACTTAAGCCCTCTCCCTCCATCCCCTGAAGGATTAAGTCCTCAAATTCTACCTAGATGCATTTAGGTCATTGGTATTATAAAAGTGTAACACATCATAAATACCTAAAACCATCGCATCATACTCTGAAAACAGAACCTTCATTTTGAGAACCTGCATTATCAGAGACAATGGGTCACAGTTATTTCTCCAGCTCTTCACCCCTCCCTGCTATCCGAAAACATGACTTTGCCTTGAAGGAAGCACCACAATTTCAAAGCCTTACACAGAGCACAGGCAGTCCATGCTGGGCTCTCCTGTGCTACAGAACAGCCTCAGACCTCTCACGCAATCGCTGTTTCCGTATGAGCTCCCTTTGTGCAGGTAGCATATCAGAGCAGCAACGTGTGAATCAACAGAGTTACTGTGCCAGAAATACACTTAACAGTAAGCAGAAAGACTGAAATAAATGATACAAATAATTATCTCCCTATACAAAACAAAGCCTTTACGCCAAAACCAGGATTGATCACTTAAGGACATGCTGCAATACTGAAATATCCAGCGAGTGGGATTCCAATTTTTAAATATGAAAGGCTTTAATCATGTCAAAGTTTTAAAGTGAGAACTTTAGCTCTACAGAAGGTTTTACAATACAGATCAACGTGTTTCACTGGCTCTGCAAATTAATGCTCAGCTATCACACACACTGCTCACACACCTTCCTCTTCCACTCCCATCTTGTATTTCACTGCATCTTCCAGCTTCTCAGAGCCACCTAGATGCGATTTCCAAATGATAAACAAAATACAGATCAGCTTCTTCTGATAATATTCCATGCCTAAAACTGATGAAATGTGACACAAAATCCTAAACTTTGGGAGGAATACAACATGCTGACACTGAAAAGGCTGCGTGGTTATCTATGTCTAATCTCAGAAAAAACAACATTAGTGCATGTATTTCATCTGAAAAGCAGAAGAGCAGTCAGGGAGAGGAATTAACGTTACTATTTGAACCTTATCTGCATTTCCTGTGTTTTAAGATGTGTCAGCACTGCAAATTGAATCTTTAGGAGATGCAGAAAGTCAAACACGTGTTTTAACGGTAATTTTTGGTTTTTATGAACTTGTCAGTTGACTGTAGGAACCTAGGAAAACATTGCTTTCAGAGAGGTTGTATTTAATTATGAGCCTATAAACTTATAAATAAAAGCAAAAGGTGAGCAAACAGCAGCAGTTCCTGCAAAACTGAAGGCTCAACCCTGAGGCTGTAACAGTCCTGCTGGACTCAGACACAGGACAGATCTTACTGTCTGAACTGTCAGAGGGCTGGGAAGGTGAGACAAGGCCCGTTTCTGAAACAACAGAACTGAGTAAGAGCTTAGAGACAGAGTCCTGTGATTATAGTCAAACTCTTCAGCCTAAAACTGTAAGTGAAAAAAACCCTGAAAATATTCTGTGATTTGCTCACTCGAAGATGAGGAAAACAATCCAAACTTGTCAAAAGAGAATGAGGGGAAAAAAAAAAACATACCAAGAAAAAAAAAGTCTCTCTCACATTAAGGAATAAACCAAACCAATCCCCTTATTTGTCCTACCTGGACCAACATGGCTCTAGACATTCACTTCACTTTTCATATAACTTCTTATTTTGAGTTCACAATCAAAAGGAAATGTAACTGAACACCTAACTGAATAATGATATTTGCTTAATAAGTCTAGAAAAACATAAAGAAGGTCCTGAACTCACAGTTTCCTTCTGACTCCCACTGCTTACCTATACAGCAGCATTTTTCAAGGGAGGGACTCGCACTTGCAAAATCTGTGGCAGGACAGATACTGGTCCTTATCTCATGCATTGCAAGGCAAATTCAAACGTGTACTGTCCATCCTTATAATGACATATCACTTGTTTAAAAACATGAAATTTCCGCTTCTGTGATTAAGATACGATTTAGAACAGCCAAACCCAAGGATTTCTCCCTCTTTCCAATTTAACAACATCCCAAGAAAATGCTAAAGGGGGAGGAGCCAAACGCTTTGTGCAGCTTACACCACAGAAATTCCCATTGCATAGGTGATAAATTACTGTAAGTGTGCACTTTAACTCGAAAAATATATAATGTACGGAGAGAAAATAAAATTAAAAAACACATCAGTGTTCATCTCTCCCAAAGAAGCAGCTACAGGAACTTAGTGGCTACCACTGAGTTTTTCTGAAATAACTTACAATACGACTATGATGGCCGTCACTAAAAGTCATCATTCATTAAAGCTCCACCATTCCTGGGCAGAAACACCACTCCGAAATAATAATAAAATAATAATTAGAAGTCCTGTTTGGGCTACTTATTGCAGAAAATGAATGAATCACCACAATAACAAAAATACATAAGTACTGCTAAAAAACAGTCCTGTTTATGTTTGTGTGCTCCCCCCCACCTTCCTCTGACTGAGGCGGTATGAAAACAATCAAGCTTTTCGTAGCCAAAGCTTCGTTTCAGAAGTCTTACGGTTCTTCCTGAGCTACAACCTGCAGACGTTAAAGCCGGTACTCCCGGACCCTCCTGCTTCCTCCCCCAACACCACCCTCAGGAAGAGATCCAGGGACATTTGCCTTCCAAACTACCAACATCTGTCTCATCCCTCTTCGCGCAAGCCAGCAGCTTCTACTCAAAAGCGCAGAATTCTTTTAACCTCACCCTCTCTCCCCGCATTGTATTTGTGTCTCCCCACGAGAGAGCTCCGCCACCACCGGCCCTCTCGGACCGCCCGTTCCCGTTAACCGCGGCCCCGGCCGCCGACACCCAAACAACGGGGCTGTCCCTCCAGCAGCACAACAACAGCCTGGCTGTGGCGGGGTCTTATTATTCCTCCTTCTCCTCTTCCTCCTGCTCCCGGTGAGGGCCCGGCGCGGTTCCCGCGCACGGAGGGCCCGGCCCGCCCCCGGCCGCCATGCAGGGCCCAGCGCGGAGGGCCCGACCCGCACCCCGCCAAACCACGGGGAACCCCCCGCGCTGCCCGGCACCTCATTCCTTCTCCCCTTCCCTCTTCCCTCGCGGCTGCCCCCGGGCCGGGAGAAGCCTCCCATGTCGCTCCGACAAACCCTCCGGCCCTCCGCGATGCGGGAGCGGAGCGAGGGAGAGAGGGGAGAGGCGGCCCCGCTGCACTCACGCTCTCGTGGTCCCACCGCACGTTGCTGCGCTTCTCATCCGGGGCCAGGTTCCTGTCCCGGCCCATGAGCTCGTCGAGGAGCTGGGCGGCCGATATCATCGTGTCGTCCTGGCCGAATCCCCCCTCGCCACACACCGACTCGGCCGCCTCGCCCCGACCGCCCGCGCCGCGCCTGACAGAGACAAAATGGCGGCGGCGCTCGCCCTGCCCACAATGCACCGCGCGGGCCGGGCCCTCACGGCCGCGGTTCGTGGCTCGGCCCCGGGAGCCGCGGGGTGAGCGGCGGCTGAGGGGACTGAGGGGGCGAACCCCCGGGAAACGGCGAAACAGGGAACAGCGACACCCGTGTGTGGCTCGATGTGAGGGACGGCGGGAGCCACACAGTGCCCAGCCCTGTGTGGTGTCATGGCAGACAGTGTCCTGCCCTGTGTGGTGTCATAGAATCACAGAATTAGCTAGGTTGGAAAAGAACTCTAAGATCATCGAGTCCAATCTTTGACTTAACACCACTTTGCCTACTCGACCGCGACACAGACTGCCACATCAAGTCTCTTCTTAAACACCTCCATGGACGGTGACTTCACCACCTCCCTGGGCAGCCGGTTCCAATGCCCAATCGCTCCCTCTGTAAAGAACTTCTTCCCAATGTCCAACCTAAACCTCCCCTGGTGCAGCTTAAGACTGTGTCCAGCCAGGACACAGCCCAGGCACACAGTGCTTGGCGGGAGGCTGAGGACACGGCCCTGGGCACAGCTGGAGGGTTATCACAGGGTTATCTGCACCCTGGCAGAACCAAGACCACTCCTGATGCACGGTTACTGACACCCAGAGTGCCTACGGCAGAGGGTATTCCCTTTCCTGAGTGCCTCCAGCTATGGGTATTCCCTTAGGAATTCATAGAATCACAGAACAGTCTAGGTTGGGAAAGACCTGTAAGTTCATCAAGTCCAACTATCAACAGTACTATCACCACTAAACCATGTCCTCAAGTGCCACATCCACATGTTCTTTGAACATTTTCAGGGGTGGTGACTCCACCACCTCACTGGGCAGCCTGTTCCCATACTTGACACGTTGCAGGGTGTCCTTCATATTTAATGTAAATCTTTCTGTTTGACCTTGGAACCAGTTTTGGCCCATTTTGTTGTTTTCCTTTTTTAGATGTGATTTTATACCTCATATGTACTGAATTTCACATAGCAATTTTCAACTATTTTCCAATTTCTCAACATTAATTTGAACCACTTAAGTGCATGAAATTAATTAAATTTTAATTAAATAATATTTTTTAAGAGCTTGAAGCCTGTATTCATGCAGATCCTGTAAAACCTACAGGACTCACAGCAGCCTTTTTCAGCATCACTGAGGGCTTTGTGCAAGCACCAGCATAACCTGAGGAGTTAACTTTTGAAAATCTCTCCATAACACCTCCGTTATGCAGCAGTGAGAGGTATCACGAACTTTTTTCAAGCTTTGCAATTTTGTAATGATTGAACAACCCACTGGAACTGTTGGAAGAGTGTAATTGAAATCAACACCACACAACTGGCATGAATTTTCAGTCAATATCCCACAGTCTGGGTTTGGGGGCGGGAGGGAAGGCGGGTGTTTTTGTCAGAAACTGGGGCAGAACTGGGCTGTTTCAGCTTCTTTCTATTGCTCCGATTGCATTGAGAAAGCAAACAGGTACCCTGGAGCCCAACTGCTGCAGAGTTCCTTGGCATGTCAGTGTGGCTGCACAGAGTAGGCTGGGATAGAAAAGTCTGACTGGAGTTCAAAATAATTATTTTGACTTTTAATAGTTGTGAAATTTTTACCAACTGTTCTGTAACTTGATTTAGGACAAATCCACAATGACCAAACCCAGCTTTTCAAACCAAGCAATGCAAATGGCAGGATTTACCTATAATCTTTCCAACTGATTTGCAGGTAGATGTAGATTTTTATTTTAATTTTGGGGGGCGGGGGTTGGGGATTAATTGATTCTGCTGAGAATGCACAAAGATGGTGAGAATTTCCTAAGCAGAACAAGAGGATGCTCCTGTGGAAGTGTCCATGGCCAGGCTGGACGAGGCTTGGAGAAACCTGGTCTAGTGAAAGGTGTCCCTGTCCATGGCGGGGGGTTGGGATGAGATGATCTTTAAGGTCCCTCCCAACCCAAGGTCCCTCCCAACCCAAATCCTCATAATCTTAAAAATCTCTTCAGTACCTCCTTTCATGGCAGTCAGCAGACAAACCCAATTTTTCCAAATCCCTCTATTTACCCTCTTTAGCAGCAGGCTAGTGTAGAACGGTGACCATCATAACATTGTTTCCTTAACCTGGGTAAAACCACTGGATTAACTGAATCTTACTTAAATTACCAGAGATACTCAGTGAGCTAGAAATATACCCAACCCCTGAAAGTATTCAAAGCCAGGTTGGATGGGGCTTGGAGCAACGTGACCTAGTGGAAGGTGTCCCTGCCCAAGGCCGGGGGGTGGGGGGGGGTGGAACGAGACGATCTTTAAGGTCCCTTCCAACTCAAACCATTCTACGATTCCACGACTCATTCTACGAACGATTACAGAGCGCGCAAGAACAACAAGCAGGGCAGGAGACACCCTCTATTGTGCATTTGTACGTTAAATAATATTAAATGACCGCGGGAGCGCCCCGTCCCGCCGGGCAGCGGCGGCGGCCGCGCCCCGCCCGCCCTGCGCTGCGCCGGAACCGGCTGTCGGGGCCGGGTTGTCACCGGCAATAGGTTCCCCCATCGCGGGGGTGTGGGCCGAGGGTCCCGGCGCTGGGCCCGGCGCGGGCGGCGATGCGGGAGGCGGGCGCGGAGCTGGCGGAGCGGGAGCGGCAGGAGCGGCTGCGGGAGGCGGCGGCGCTGGGGGACGCGGAGGAGGTGCGGCGGCTCGTGGAGCTGGGGGTCGGCCTCAACTCCCAGAACGAAGTCAACGGATGGTAAGGGCCGCCCTAACCCGGCCACCCCCCCGGCGCTCCCGCGGGTTCGCTCTTCACGCGAGGTGCAAATTGAGAAGGAAATAAAAGGTCGATCCGCCGCGGAATACTCCGTGGAGCGATCCCTGTTCCGGAGGTGCGGCTGATAAACCGGGGTCTCAATCAGGGGTCCCCATCCCACCTCCTGCGCTGTTCGCTGCTTCTCCGGGTCACGGTGCACTTACTTTATATTGATGGGTTTGATTTTTTTCCTCCAGGTCGCTGTGTACTTACTTTGTGCTTATATTGGTGGGTTAGATTTTTTTTTTCCCCAGCCTGAGACAGCAGAGGCTGTCAGAACACAAGCCTCGGCTTTACGTGTTCATGTCTAACTAGAAATATTTATTGTTGACTCTAAACCAAGTTTGAAAATGGCTTTCCCTTTCAAGCAGGGACCCTGCAGGCTGTTTCAGAGGATGTATACGAACGCTTTGGTTTTGACATCTCATTCACACCCACCTGAGGACACTAAAGCCAAGGCTGTTCTGTAATAGACACACAAACCACAGCAAAACAAAAAACCGAAACTGGAAAAGGCTTTTTGGGGCTGGACTTTCAACTAAAATATTTTCCCCGTCTGAGTTTATTTATTTCTATTTTAATTCTTAAAAAAATAAATAAACTTGGAGAAGGGTTGAGTATGTTCATTTTTCTGAAGTTTCCTTCAGCTGGAGCTAAAGAATTAAAACATAAAAACTGGACAAAGGTCAAACACTGCTAGAAGCTGGGATAGGAAGGGATGGTCTGACTGTATAGCAAGTTACATGTATGAGTCTAAGTCCCCAATGCTAAGCACTAAATAAGTTTAGTAGGTTTTAAGATGTTTCTTTACTATGTCTCTCTAGTCAGTGACTGCAAATAATAATTTAAAAACATAGAAAAGCATTCAGTTCTGTTGTCTACAGATCAAAGCCAGGGAATTGCTGGTGCAGGAAATAGCAACTGGGCAAAGAATTGTGCTGAGAAACTATACAGTATTTTAACCATTATTTACTTGTCAAAAGTGCAAGTCCTTGTGCTGACAGCATTAATTAAAGAGTACAAATAGCATCCTAGGGAAGTATCCCTAATAGATTATGTGTACACATACATGGACAAGTATTTTAAGTACAGATGATTTTTTCAAAGATTAAGATAGCATGCACAAGATTTCTTTTTTATATTTAATTTTCCAGCAAAGTTTATAGCCTAAGAAAGGACAAATTGAAAAGATCTTGAACTTTAAAAACACTACTTTGGTATCAAGAGCATTAGAGCAAGGGAAAATGACATCAGCAAGTGCCATTGCAGGCTCTGAATCCAGTGTACATTTCCAAGGAAGTTTGCAATTCAAACCTATTTTGCTAGACTTGCATTAGGTCTTGTTCTTCTCACAGGCAGTGAGAAGAGTGGAAATGAATCTGCTTTGACACAGAGTTAATGTTTTCCGTGTGCAGGACATGTTTGCACTGGGCCTGTAAGCGGAACCACGCGGCCGTGGTGGCTTATCTGCTGCACGCAGGAGCAGACAAGGACATCCTGACCAAGAAAGGAGAGAGGCCAGCCCAGTTAACATCCAAGAGAGAGATCAAGGAGATGCTGGGAGGTAACCTAGTCACTGTGCCATGTGACCATCAAAGACTAGTAAAGGGCTGTTTAAACATGTGTGCTCCAGTCTTTGTTTCGCATGCGAAGAGACTGTGTTTGGATTTCAGTACTAACTATACTTGATTTCTGGTGTTTACTTGATAAGAAAACAAAGTTTAAGAAAAGAGGATTACCAACAAATTCCATACCCAGCTAGCCAAACTTTTTTCTAAACAATGACAAATTAGAAAAAACGTTATTTTGAAGAATGCCATGCAGCAGACAGATGCAGCTTCCTGTTTCTAAAAAGGCAATGGGAGAAAAATCTCTCGAATTTGTAGGAAGCCCTTATATGATCAACACCTAATTTTCCTGATGTTCTGTGTTGAATAAATCGAAAATTAGCAGCCCAGATAAGCAGCTCATTAAAGGACATTGGTAAAGCATCTTTATCTTGTTTGTAACTGCTGGAGCAGAGTAGGATTTGCTGCTGGAGGTGATAAGTAATTTGAAATGTGGTCGATTAACAACCTCTCCCCTCCCCTTTGTACTCCCATGTCTGGTTTTGTTTTCATTGTTATCTCCCAGCTGTTGAATGGGTAATGCTGCAGCTCTCCCAGTACTGCATGTTCCCTTCCCTTTATCCCCTGCCTTAATATCG